CTGCTCCCCACCGCTGGAGTTCCATCCCAGCTGTGCCATGGAAGGCAGATGCGTAGGAAGTGAAGATGCAGAAACAATGCAAGGGAGTGAGGCCAAAAGTTTGTGAACCCAGGATTACAACACCCCAACTTCCTAAAGCCAAATCCTCCAGGCTGGTGCCACAGCCACCCCCCGCTCCCACCTAGGGCGCCCCCAGCCCCTCCAGACCCGTGCTGCCTCAGGGCCATCACCCCAACATCCTGAGATTACCCCTCCACACAAGGCCAGCAGCCTGCTGCTCCCTTGGGGCAGGCAGGAGCAAGCAGCTCGGGAGACCTACATCCTGACCCCATTTCCCCACTTCTGAGCTCCTGCCCAGGCCCCTCTCCCGGTGACTCCCTCTTAGGGAACAGCAGGGCAAGGGACAGTCCCTCTTACCAGAGCAGGAGGACGGGAGACACCAACTGCTGGCTGGAGACTGAGCCACGGGAGGGGAGGTGGCCTCCGGGCCAGGACAGGGGCGGAGAGTGAATCACCCTGGAGTTTTCCACCGGGCACCTGCTCTCTGGCTCCCAGGCACGGCTTCTAGTCTTTCACAACCCCTGCCTTTCTTCTCCCGGGGATGGGGGGACTCCTAGGGCAAGAGCCGGGAGGTCCAACAGAGAGACGGCCCGAGGGGCAGACACGCCTCCCTTGTAGTTCCTAGACAAGAAGGAAGACTCAGTTTCCCAATCTGTACCAGGTGGACAACAGTACCTACTCCGCAGGGGTGCGATGGGGGTTAAAGTCAGTGGAGAAGTGGCTTACGGTATCACCGGAAGGGGGGTTGCACCACCACCACTGGCGCCCTGGCGAAGGGAAGGTACTTGCGCTCTGGGCACGATCCCGGGTGCAAGCCGCGCGCCTCCTTCCAGAGCAGACGGAGGCTTTTGTAGCACCAGGTGGCGTGGAGGGAGGGGAAGTTGCAGAGAGAAGGGGAAATTTCCCTTCGCGCGCGCTTCCTCTCTGGGCCCTCGCAGCTTCCCGGCGGGGGCGGACTGCGGGGCAAGCACCCCACCCGTGGCTGTAGTTTTCCACTGAGCGGGCGCTCCCAGTTGGCGCCGCGCCGCCCCTCTGGGCTAAGCGCAGAGCAGCTCAGCTCGCCGGGAGCAGAAGACGGCCCTGAGCCTCCTGTACTCAGGATGGCAGAAGACAGCTCCAGCCGTTTGCGGCTGCTCCGGAGCAAAATACCCAGGTTCCAGACTCCCGTCATCTCTCTCATCTCTATCTCTTACCACCACCACCAAGGAGCAGAGTTGGATCTCTGGCCCCTCACCCACCTCCAATGTGCCAAAAAAGGTTTCTATTTCCCACCATCTCCAGCCTTCAGCTTGAGCCCTCCCTTATCTGAAGTGCCCCCCCCCCGCCCGACCCCTCATCCCCAATACTCACGTGGGGTCGAGGGTGGGGGCGTGGCGGGGTGGTGCCTCTTTACAAAAGGTAGGACTCCTGGGAGAAGTCTCCATCATCCTGGGCTGTCATTGCCCCGGGAGGAGTCGGGAGTAGCAGTCAAGTATGCTGAATCAGCCATCTTGCTGCAGAAAGAACCAGCACGCCCCTCCAGTATCCCCATCACCAGCCTCATCTTCTAGTCCCCCCCATGCTCTTAGGGCACCTGTGTTCTGGGCGTCTAGCTCAGGGGCGCCCTCACATGGCATCTCCTGTCGCTCCGGGGAGCCTTGGGGAGCCTTGGGGTGCAGGAATTGCTAGTCCTGCTTGGCAGGTAACATGACGCTAGGTGATTTGTCCCTGGGCCGCGCACCAGCAGGTGATAAGAGCTGCTGTGGGAGCCTGGGTGCCCACACGGGTGTTTGCTCCTTCCACTGCAGCATGTTGCCAGGCACGTGGCGAATACCCCGGGGCCACAGGTCTCATCGGCCTCTAGCTGTCACTGTCAACAGCTTCGGAGTCATCAGTGTCCATTAGATGGGGTGGATGGGCAGATGGAAAAAAATGGATGGGCGGACGGGGCAGGGTGGGGTGGATGGATGGGTGGGTAGATAAATGGGTGGGTGGATGGGTGGGTTTTATCTGGAGAACCAAGATATCACCAAGGGCATTGCTGTGCTAAGCAGGACCTTTAGGCCACAGGAAGCAAGAAACTGACAGAAGACAGCTCAAGAGCATCGCAGCGTCCCTCCTGGGCCCCAAAACTATCTCATGCTCTCTCTGAATTCCTCCTGGGCTTTCATATCTCACCGGCAGCCTCTTGTGCTGGGGCTGGAGTCTGAGCTGTGTTGGTGCCCAGCAAAGTTGCCCTACCCCTAAACCCTTTACTAAACTCTAGTGCCACTGTGATGTGAGTGGCATTACTCCCATTTCACAGCAGAGGGAATGCAACGTCAGAGTCACCTGCCCAAAGTCACCCAGCTAGCAAGTGAGAGGGTTCAGATCCCAGCTAGGACGGCAAGCCTCCATCCAGCAGTAGGCAAAGGGGGACATGTGTTCCCGTGCCTGAGGATAACATCCTGTGCGCATGCCCACACACGTCGGCTGGGGTGGCTTGTGGGCAGGCTTTCGGTTCTTGTGGTCCGGCAGAGCCCCGGCCACCTGCACCGCCCAACCATCACCAGCCCCAAGGCAGCCCTGCCTCCCTTGCTTTAACAGCAGAGCTTGCCTCAGGATGACAGGTTCCCCCAGCCCCTCGGCCAGTGCCAAGTTCAGACCGGCCCGCCCCAGCTTGTCCAGAGCCAGCAGTGTTCCTGCAGCCCCCATCCTTAGCAGCCCTGGCAGGGGTCACTCCCCAGGCCACAGCTCCACTCGGTCAATGGCCTCACCTCCCTTTGGCCCTGAAGGATGGAATGAACCTCAGGTGAGTCCTCCTGCACCATGTTGGACACAGGGCACAGGGCCAGCCAGTATCACCTGTTTCTGATAGACAACAATCAGGCATTCTAAGAGCTTCCACAAGGACAAACAGCTGGCTAAAGACCCGTCCCAACCAATGCCAAAGTGCCGAGCCTTGGGCACCAAGCCGATTCCACACTGCCTCATACCACAAGCGGCTCTACTGGGTCAGTCACCATCCCGGGGCTGTGTCCTCCTGCCGCTTGGGTGAGATGGGTAGACAATCAGCTGCCAGGGGACTTCAAGATGCTCAGAGAAAACTGAAGTCTGTTGTGGTGCAAAAATTTGCCAAGATCCCACGTACATACAGCATGAAAAGCAGGTGCATAGATTTCCTTTTCCTTTTTTTTTTTTTATCCCTCCGGACTAAACTTGCCTTTGGGCTCCTCGCATTGCCCTCAGGACGGCCTTTCCAGACGGCCTCATCTCAGCCGCTGAGCTGAGCTACTCCCAGCACTCTGCTCTTGTCTTCGGCCACTTCTGTCACATTTTGCTGTTTGAGAAATTAAGCCTGGGACCAGCGTTGTGGCACAGTAGGTTGCACCTCCACCTATGGTGCTGCCATGACTCACGTCCTGGCTGTGCTCCCTCCCAACGCGCCTGAGAAAGCAGCGGAGGACGGCCCAAAGCCTCAGACCGCTGCACCCGCACGGGAGATCCAGAAGAAGCTCCTGGCTTCAGACAGGCCCGGTCCCTGGCTGTTGCAGCCATTTGGGGGTGAACCTGAGAATGGAAGATCTCTCTCCTCTCTCTGTCTCTGACTCTCCCATTCTCTCTGCAACTCTGCCTTTTGAATGAAAAAACTTTTTTGATCTTCCATTGGCTAATTGATCTTCTAAGTGGCTACAATGGCTGGAGCTGAGCCAATCCAGAGCCAGGAGCCAGGAGTCTCCTCCAAGTGTCCCACACAGGTACAGGGTCCCAAGACTTTGGGCCGTCCTCTACTGCTTTCCCAGGCCACAAGCAGGGAGCTGGATGGGAAGTGGAGCTGCCGGGACATGAACCAGCGCTCATATGAGATCCTGGTACATGCAAGGCAAGGATTTTAGCCACTAGGCTATCATGCTGGGCCCATCGAATAATAATTTTAAAACTAACGTGGCCTGATTTGGCCGAGCAGGCAGCACGGGCAAAGCCTGGTCCCACCCACCGGGTGTTCTGACAACATGGCCAGGACTCACCTCCAGCACCTATCTCGAGAGTGAGCCTGCCACACTGCGGGAAGGCCCAACTCGCCCCTCTCCGGGAAGTAGTGAAGGCCCACGCATGGTGGAACCGCCATGGACCTTCCTCCAGCAGCCAGAAATCAGACACTGCCGACTGGCAAAGGCAGTGCAGAGGCCCTGGCAGTGGAGCGATGCTAGTGCCAGTGCCCCCTCGTGGCCATATCCGGTAGTGACCGCGCCCAGCGTCCCAAGGCAAACCTGAAGAGGAAGGCTGGCCCGAGCACGCAGGCCTCCTCTGCTGGCAGATGCTAGTGCCAGTGCCCCCTCGTGGCCATATCCGGTAGTGACCGCGCCCAGCGTCCCAAGGCAAACCTGAAGAGGGAGGCTGGCCCGAGCACGCAGGCCCCCTCTGCTGGCGGATCCGGGGTACTGCCTCCTCCTCAGCCCCGGACCTCTGAGGAGCCAGCGCCGTAATTTGGGCAAGGTGAGGACCACGAAGAAAATGCACCGCAGGAAGATTCCGATCGGCCTTTCCTTTAGCCAGAGCCTGGTCTGCTCCGTTCTTGCCTTCTTATTCCACGGAGCATAGGGGGACGCGCGAGAGAGTGAAGGTTGCTGGCATGGCTGTGGCCTGGAGAACTTCGCAAAGGGAGCAGGAAGGGCGGGGACAGTGTTCAGGTGCAGGCAAGTGGGCCAAGCCGCAAGGCATAGGGGCACAAACGAGGTAGGACGGACAGCCCTGGGCAGAACATGGATTTAATAGAAGGACAGGCACCGGGGCCCAGAGGCCAGCTGCGTTCCCCTCCTGCAGCTCTGGGCTAGCTTCCTGACACCTGCTGACACGGGCATTTCCGTCTTCTCCCACCACTGGCGGAGCAGGGAAACGGGGCAGGAAGCCTCCATCATCAGCCTCTGTTCTCTCTCTCTGTCTCTGTCTCTCTCTGTCTCTCTCTCTCTCACACACACACACACACACTCACTCACAGCCAGGGGCCCCTGCCCCTAGCACTGACACTCCAACTCTGTGAGTTTAAGAAGTGATGTCCTGGGCACAGCAGAGGCAGGGGCTCCTGCTTGGTTCCGCTGGGCCAGGTCCTCAGCTGGGCACACGAGCTGGCGGAGTCTCTACAGAGAGGGAATGAGATGGTGGGAGTGGACAGCTGTCGCATGGTGTGGGGCTGTCCACATCGCTGGGGTATGCCCACCTCCCCTCATCCCCAAACCCACTGCCTGACTGAGACTTCCAGACACCCACCCTGTCTCTCCCTGGGGACTCCCCACCCAGGCCAGGCTTACTGCCCCACCCTCACCCCTGCATTGTGGGACCCCTAGCTCCCACCTCTCTCAAGGGGCCCTTGAGGGTGCTGAGTTTGTACAGGCCCCAGGCTGGAATGCAGACCATGGACGAGAGGGCCAGGAGCCAGCCCAGGGCGTCGCCCCACCAAGGGTAAGTGTACTTCTTGTTGTAGGTCAGGGGCTTGTACTTGATCAAGGAGAAAAGGAAGGTGCCCTGGGGGTGGTAGGGGAGCAAAGGACACAGGAGATGAGGACCCCTTGCCCTCTGCAACGCTCCACCCTCCCCCGCTGCCCCAGAAGTATTTCCAAGCCACCCCAGGACCCTGTGCCCCCACCAGCTCCTGGAAGGCCCCAACGCGGGGCTGGCTCCCCAGTAAGGCTGAGAGAGCTTTGAGACACTTGCCTTCTGCAGTAGCACGATTTGGGGCTGGGGGTGCCTCAAGGATGGGATCCGCCTCCCTCTGTCCCTCCCCCACCTATGTAGCAACCACAGGGTGGAAAGATCCAGAACAAGGGGTGGATGGGCATTTGAACCGAGGCTTAAATACCAGTTGGGATGCCCGCAGCCTGAGTTGGAGAGGACCCTGAGTGCAGGTCTCAGCTCAGCTTGCAATCCCAGGTTCCTGTAACGGGCTCTGGGAGGCAGCCGGTGATGGCTCAGTGCTTGGGTCCCTGCTCCCCACACGGGAGCCCCACGGCCATGGCTGGCATTCGGGAAGTGAATGAGATGTCACTGTGTCTCTCATTCTCATCCCCTGAGCTATGCAGTGGAAGGATGTCCGCCACATTCAAGCCCCATCATTGTGAGACGCATCCTCCCCGCTGTACCATTGTGCACGGCCAGAGGCGGGGCTCCTCTGGACCCACAGAGAAGTCACCTGCACTGACCGTGGGGTTGCCGTGACGAGGCGACAGGTCCCTGCATGGCGGCACATCACCAGCACCCAGCTGCAGAGGCTGCTGCCATTGCCCTCCCAACACTGAGCCTCGGGATTCAGTCCACACCTCCCTGCCACAGGCACACATGGCTGGTGCAGGGCCCCCGTGTCTGCGCTGGACCTCGCTTTACTGTCTATGAAATGGGAAGGGAGACTGGTGCTGGCTGTGGCTTGCGGCTTTCCAGTCTCCAACACGAGCCTAAGAGTTCTCCCCCTGATGAAAGGACCCTGGAGAGCTGAGGGTGTCTCTACGCTCCTGCCTCCCCGCCAGCTGGCCTAGCTGTGCCCCTAACCGCCACCACCCCAAAGATGCTCTCACCGTGCACACAGCCGGGGTAAAGAAGAGCCAACAGTATTTGACAAGCGGCCATGGCCGGTACCCGATCATATCCTGTATGTTGTTGTAGAAGCGCCCAGCTCCTACCCCAGAGAAAAGAAAGGGCTTAAGCCAGAAGCCACACAGATGTACATATTTGTCTCCTGTTTGCTGCAGGGGCAGAGCCCTGCCCTGCCATCCCCGGACACAAACAGCAGCTGGCAAAACTGGGTTACCACTGGGCAGCGATCTCCTGCCCACCAGGCTCATGGTAAGGTGGAAGGGTGTGGCTCGGACAGAGCCAGGGGCAACTCTAGCCAGGAGCTCCATGTGGGTGGCAGGGCCCTGAGTGTACACAGCCAGAGCCACTAGCCGCCACCCCCCGAATGGATTCTTAAATTTGTTGGGGGAGGGACACGGTCCCGAGGAAAGGTGGGGTGTTGGTTTGCAGAGCCCGAGGCAGAGGACAGTTCCAGGGTGGGGGGCCTGCGGGGAGGGGTCACTCACCATAGACCCAAGCCACGCAGATGGACTCAAAGATGGCCACGAAGAGCAGGCACATACCGCTGGCCGCATAGTAGTCAAAGAGCTGAAATACGTACATGCCGCCCTGGACAGGGCACAGCCGCTCTCAGGGGCTTGGTCTGGGGGTGCCCCCCTCACCCTGGTCCCCCCAAACACACACACACACACACAGAGCCTCACACCAGGGCAGCGGGTTCACAGAGCAAGGCTGGGGAAATCAACTAAGACACAACCAAGAGAACTTTGAGTCTGTGAGCCATAGCGCAGCAAGCAGGTGTAAAAGAGCATCCAGGGGCTTGCTGTGGTGTGGAAGGTCCACAAATGCCCACTGGTACCGTGCAGACAGCCCGAGAAAGGCTTGGGACCAGTCGTCATGGGTGTCACAGAATGGCCAACTCCATCCACCCCTTCCTCCTTCGAGGTACCATGCAGAACTGCCACCCCCCCACACACCTACCCACCGTCTCTGCCAGGCTCCCCTCGCACCAGAGCTGAACTGGCTACCTGGGCAGTCCTGGGATCTCACAGGAAAGGTTGCAGACCCCCCCCCCCACTTCATGCATGCCCCACCCAACATCCCTCCACACCTTCTCCCTTAGCACGAAGGACCACCGCCCACCGACCCAGAGCAAGGATGCGCTTATTCTGCCCTTTCTGTGGCAGGGGAAGAGGGGAGCCCACTCGGGTGGTGGGGAGCCAGGGGACAGGCAGCCCCCGGCCACTCAGCTCCCACGGCAGCCTCCTAGCCCTCACCTCCGTGAGCATGAGCAGGCCAGCAAGGAAGGAGAGGATGGACACGGCCAGGATGAGCAGCTCCCTCCGGTTCTTCTTGCGGAACACGTTGGGGTACATGTCCACCAGCGCTGTCACCAGGCTTTCTACACACACAAACTGGATGAGAGGGTGAGAGAAACGGAGGTAAAGAGAGCTCCCCCAAACGAGGCCAGGCGCCCAGCACTGGCCTTCAGTACCTGGGGCCAGCCCCACCAGCATCCTCTCCTCGCTACCACCAGTCCCACCCCACCCCGCAGAGTCTCCTCCAGGTCCCCACAAGATCATCTGCTCCTGACATCCAGCCAGTCCCATCTCCACTTCCTCCCCTCCCTTTGGAAGTCCCTTGCAAAACCAAGCTTAACCCCGCTCTGCCTCTCCCAGCACACCCCAGCCACACCCCAGCCTGAGACTGCACACAACACACACACACACACACACACACACACACACAGAGTCCCTTCCTGGTACCTGGCTGTCCAGTCCTAGGAGAACAACCATGAAGAAGAAGCAGCAGGCCCAGAGCGGAGAGAAGGGCAGCATCGCCACAGCCCGGGGATAGGCGATAAAAGCCAGGCCGGGCCCTGCAGCAGGGAACACAGAAACACACCCAGTGCCCAGGCCAGCTCCCGGCCGTCTGCAGGGCTGCCCAGTGTGAGGCCCTGAGTTAGCACAACCTGTTCCGAGTCCCTGCGAATCTGCACGCTTAGAGGAAGCAGGCAGTGAGTTGAAACACCCCAGCTCTTGGCTTCAGCCTGGCCTGGCCTGGCCCCAGCTCTCAGGGAAGGAGGGTCATCACTCTGTCCTCACTCTGTCCCCGTCTACCTCCCTTCATCTCTGGCCCTTCCTCTCTGCCTTTCAAATAAATTAAGCAGTGTTTTTTTTTTTTTAAGTGAAGTTACTGTCCTTTCTAATAAAAGTTGCCCAATCTTTGGCACAATGGCAAAGACAGAGACAGAGATAAGGATTGGTCTTGCTGAGCCTGGCGCGGTACCCTGGTGGCTAAAGTCTTCACCTTGCTTGCTTGCACTGGGATCCCATTTGAGTGCCGGTTCATGTCTCGGCGGCCCTGTTTCCCATCCAGCTCCCTGCCTGTGCCCTGGGAAAGCAGCAGAAGTTGGCACAAGTGCATCTACATGGGAGACTAGGAAGAAGCTCCTGGCTCCTGGCTTTAGCTCAACCAAGCCCTGGCCACTGCAGCCATTTGGGAAGTAAAGGAGTACATGGAAGACTTCTCTGTGTTTCTGACTTTCAAATAAATCAATCTGGGCCTGACACAATAGCCTAGTGGCTAAATCCTCGCCTTGCATGTGCTGGGATCCCATGTGGGCCCTGTTTCATGTCCTGGCTGCTCCACTTCCCATCCAACTCCCTGCTTGTGGCCTGTGAGGGTATTGGGGGACAGCTCAAGGCCTTGGGACCTTGCACCCACATGGGAGACCTGGAAGAAACTCCTGGCTCCTGTTTGGATCGTCTTAGTTCCGGCCGTTGTGGCCACTTGAGGAGTGAATCAGTGGATGGAAAATCTTTCTTTCTATATCTTTCTCTCTGTATATCTGACTTTCTGATAAATAAATAAATAAAATTTAAAATGATAGTAAATAAACAAATCTCTTTTAAGTGAACGAAGCTAGGAACAGATTATGTCAATATAGTAGTAGTTTATCATTTGCCTGTAAAATTGTGTGTGTGTGTGTGTGTGTGTGTGTGTGCGCGCGCGCACCCAACCAAAGGCAAGCAAATTATTTCTGAAAGAATAAACATGAGATTGGCAACACTGGTTGCCAAGAGCAGGAGGTCAGGCCTGGGAAGAAATCTGTTCATTGATACACCCAGCCCTTCTCTGGACCTGTTTAAACCCCAGCGACAGGCACTGCGCACAGCCAGCACGTGGCTTGCATCCCAGCTGCATGGCCAGCCCCAGCTTCCCACAGAAGCACACTGCGGGAGGTAGCAAGCATGGCTTGAATGCTTGGAAACCTGGATTGAGTCCCCAGCACATGTTGGGAGTGAACCAAGAAATGGAGTCTCATGCTCCCCTTCTTTTGCTTGCTCCCTCTCTCTCATTCTCACTCTCTCTCTCTATCTCTCCAAACAATAGGCTCAAATCGTACCTCCTGCTCCCAGTTCTAACCCATAGACGTGACTCCGGCTCTCCGAGCCTATAGCTGACAGTGGCAATGTCCACCAGGTTTCAGCTGTCACAGGCTTAGACTCTGCCATCCTGGGGCCCTCCCCTGCCGCTCACCTGATTCAGCCACCTCGGAAATGGGCACGCCCTGCTCCTGAGCCATGAAGCCCAGGATGGAGAAGATGGCGAAGCCGGCCACGAAGCTGGTGCCGCTGTTGAGAAGACAGAGGGCCAGGCAGTCCCTGGGGACCGGGGTTGGGGTGGGGTGAGTCAGCTCAGCTTGGTCCCCAAATTCAGGTGCATAATATACAATAGGAACTTTCTTTTTTTCGATAAAATTGACTTCCATTCCTTGAGTATGAAGGAGGTCAGCAGGAGGGAATGATGGGAAGAGGCTATCAAGGGGGGTTCAGGAGGTTTACAAAGATGCTTCCTAATTGGGGAGAGGAGGGAACAGGTGGCCTAGCAGTGAGACCCCTGACCACCGAGTGCATGCACGACCCAGTCAGAATGCACAGGTTCAAGTCCCAGTGATGCTCCAGATCCCAGCCTCCTGCCAATGCAGACTCTGGGAGGCGGCAGTGACAGCCCAAGGACATGGGTTTGTGCCCTACCCACGTGGGAGGCCTAGATAGAGTTCCCAAAATGCTGGCTTCAGCCCAGGCAGCCTAGGCAGCTGCAGGCATTGAGTGAAGCAACAGACAGGAGGCGTGTGTGTGTGTGTGTGTCTTCCTAACCCTCAAATAAGTCAGTACAGATTGTAGAAGATGGTTGTAGGGAATGACATGAAGAGAGAAACTCATGGTGATGGAAGAAGGTTTCCACAGGATGCATTTGTCCAGGAACTTTCTGAAGACTCCCCACATTCGGGGACTTCAAAAATGCTTGTACTGAAACCAATGAATTTTTTCACTCCAGGTTCCACGTAGGAGGGCAGGCAGATAGGGGTGCAGGCTGAGTGCCTGCAGGGGTGCAGGCTCAGTGGCTGTAGGGGTGAGGGCTGAGTGCCTGCAGGGGTGTGGGCTCAGTGGCTGTAGGGGTGAGGGCTGAGTGCCTGCAGGGGTGCGGGCTCAGTGGCTGTAGGGGTGAGGGCTGGGTGCCTGCAGGAGTGTGGGCTCAGTGGCTGTAGGGGTGAGGGCTGAGTACCTGCAGGGGTGCAGGCTCAGTGGCTGTAGGGGTGAGGGCTGAGTGCCTGCATGGGTGTGGGCTCAGTGGCTGTAGGGGTGAGGGCTGAGTGCCTGCAGGGGTGCGGGCTCAGTGGCTGTAGGGGTGAGGGCTGGGTGCCTGCAGGAGTGTGGGCTCAGTGGCTGTAGGGGTGAGGGCTGAGTGCCTGCAGGGGTGCGGGCTCAGTGGCTGTAGGGGTGCTATGGCATGCTTGCCTCTAGTCCAGAACCACTTACTTCCCCCCAGCAAGCCAACTAATCCAGAATCCCACCACGCTGGGGTGTTCCTGGCCAGGGCTGGCTGTGGTCTCTGGGAGAACCAAGACCATCCCACCCTTCCGGAAGGAGGATCCCTGCACCCTACACAAGTTGCAATTGGATCCTGGTAAGCCTTGGGTAAAGGCTACTGTGGTATGGAGGGGTTGGGGGAGCCTGTGCCCAGTGCCTACCGGTAGCAGTTGTTGTGGAACTTGTTGTAGCTGCCCAGGGCCGTCAGGCAGCCTAGACAGATGGCAAAGGAGAAGAAGATCTGAGTGCCTGCGTCCATCCACACCTACAAAGGAAAAGAGGCGGGAATTCAGAGACTGCCAGGCCCTTTCTGGGCCTCCAGGGGAGGGTGCAGGCTGTTCTTAGTCTGGGCCTCCACCTTGGGGGCACCCAGCACGCCCTGCTCCCAGGTCCCCTGCTTGGAGCTTCTTTGTCACTGCAAGGATACAACCCGCAGCAGGTGATCAGAGAAAATGACAGTGTGCCTAATTTCATCTGATCTCGGAAGCTAAGCAGGGTCGGGCATGTTTAGTACTTGGATGGGAGACAAAAGGACCTGAGGCACAGGTGTCCAGAGGGGTGGGACAGGGCCCTGGGGCATGGCCACGTCTGCTGGAAAGGCCCTGAGTTCGGCCCCATTTCTTGGGCCGTGTGGCCATTGCGGAAAAAAAAAAATCGAGACCCAGCAGACAGCCAGGCCCTTTACATCCAAGGCCCCCACATCTCAGAACCCTCTGGAAACCAGGAAGTCACACCCAGGCCGCAGGAAGCCATGAGGATGAGCAGAAACGCATATGCAAAGGCTTTGTTCTCCTCGGGGGTTGGGGGATGACCTGTGACGGCTGTTATCTCAGCTGGCCACCCCAGACCACATGCATGCACACATGGCGATCTCCACGGAACAGCTACAACAACAATCTAAGGAGAGCAACCCCAAAGCCTCCTACCCAGCAGCCCTAGAACCCTGCAGGAGATGGACCCTGGGGCTGCAGACCCTCTCCGGGCCCCTCACACACACCCTGGCCCCCCCACCCCCGCCTCCAGGGAGGTGAGCACCACCAAGACAAGCGTTCCTTGCCTCCGGTCCGTCCCTTCCCATCTTTCCCTGTATGCGGAGCCCCTGCCATCACTCTGCCCTCGCGGGTAGGCACAGACTCAGTAGGTAATCCTGGCCTTTGGAAGAATCAGAGGAGGAGGAATCACGACTTGACTGTCCACTCAACTATGGATGGGGGTGGAGGGAGCGAGATGGGACAGTGGGAGACTGACCAGGGTGCAGCTGGGAGGAGAGGGAGATGAGATAAGGCCACAGCAGGGCTGCAAGTTCAGAGCCCCCTCTCAGGGAGTTTGGCAAGGCCAGTGCTCAGCCCAGCTGCTGCCCGGCAGGCCTGCTGAGCCAGGGGTGGGCGGGGGGGGGGAGGCAGAACAGGGTCAGAGGGCAGGCTGAAAGGATGTGCAAGGGGAGCAGGCTGTTTTGTTCCCCTCCAGAGGCAGGGCAGACCTCTGATGTGTCTGTGGCTGGGGCAGGAGAGTGACCAAGAGAGGGAGACACGCAAGCCCAGAGGACAGTGCGTGGAAGGAGGAGACCTGCGGCTCCATGGAGGCAGAAGTCTTGGGTGATTAGCCGGCATTTTGGCATTTTCTCCCAAGTGCCAGGCAGCATTAGCTGGAAGCCTCATACCTCCCAGGGAGAGCCAGCTAGTCACTTCAGGCTCTGAAGAGCAAGGACATGATGCCCTACAGGTGGCACAGATGACGCTGTCCTCCCTGACCACAAGGGCCTCCCCCCAAACACCCTGCCCGCCCCATCCCTCTCTCTCCCCCCAGCTGCACACCAAGGCCTTCCACCTGCTGCCTGCAGCTGGCCATGGTCGGAAGGCAGCATCCTGGGATGTGCACTAAAAGGGTCCTTATCCCCTGCCTTCGAGGCCTCCCTCCCTTCTACTGTCCCCCGACCCCCCCTGCTTTCTACCCACTATTTTGCTTTTCCAGATAAGCCACAGGGCTTAGGATTCATAAAAGAGCGCTTTGCTTGGCAGAGGCTGGGGCTGGGGCTTGCTGTTCTGTGCAGGAAGAAAGTTGTCACTCCCTCCCCAAGTCCCCGCCCCAGGGTCCTGCCCACTGCTCGGGGGGCCCTGCAATCTGGTTCCAACCCCAGTGCCCTGTATGGAAATGAGAACAGACAGCTGATGGGAAACCTAACGCCAGCCCAGCTGGCTTGGGGGCCACAGAAGCAGGCACAGAGGGGGCAGAGGGTGCCAGGTGGGGGTGCAGCCAAAAAAGGAAGCTGGGTAGGATGCAAGGAAGCAAAGAAATGAACAAGTCAGGAAGCTGGAGGGGGACCCTGCAGTGCCTACAAGAAAGGGGGTTCGCGACAGGCTTGCAGCCCCCGAGGAACATCCCTCAGGCCCCCTGAGTTCCCTGGCAGTTGGGAGTCGAGAAGGGCCCTTAGCCCTGCCCCGGGATCCTCTTGAGCAGACTCAAGTCTCACCTGGGGGTCCCACAGGCGGGTGAGGTTTGGGTACAGGTAAAACTGAATTCCTTGGGCCGCTCCAGGCAGTGTGACCCCACGAATCAGCAGGACCACCAGCATGAGGTAAGGGAATGTGGCTGTGAAGTACACCACCTGGCCGAAAACAGATGAGAGACGAGGTAGCCGCTTGCCGACCCAGTACCGGCCACAGGGACCAGGGACAGAGCCAGGAGCCAGTCAAGGACACAGTTCTCCTGCCCCTGTCCACCACCCCCCCAGCCACAGCCTTCTCCCTCCCCGTCTCTCCCCGCTGGCTGGAGGTCCCTGCCCTCTCCCCTTGAAGCACACACAGCGAATCTGTGTCAAGTGCACGGCCACAGGTGTCCTCCCAGCAGCACTGCCTGGAGTGATGGCAGGGGCTGTCACGCGAGGTCTCTGCGGAGCCCAGCCCCAAGAAGAGCTGTCACCCCATGTGTCCTCCAGCAAAGTGTCCCCCAAGTATCCCCCTGAGATGGTTGAGATGAGTTCTGCAGGTTAGGCTAGGCCCCAGAGTCGCACAGCTTGGTGGGCCTGACAGGGTGGAGCCTTAATCCCCTCCCAGCGGCTGGGAGGCGGGGCCAGCGGGCTGTTCTGAGGTCACGAGGGGCTGCCCCTTGGAAGGCCATTGGTTAGAAAAGCCTGAGAGGCAGGCCCAGCTGCTTGCTGGCTGGGATGTGATCCCTTCTCTGCCCATAGCCACCTGCCCATCCACCCCTCTGCAGAAGCCTGCCCCAGAGGGCCACCCGCCAGTCCGAAACTGCCAGTCACCGCAGCTGTGAGCCAAGCAGCCCTGCTTGGGCTCGTGCCATGCCCATGAAAAGTTGATGGACATAGTAGGGGACTCCCAAGTGACAGCCCCCCGGGGAGGGCAGGGACTGCCCACACAGACCTTGCCTGTGGACTTGACACCCTTCCAGATGCAGAAGTAGCAGATGACCCAGGCGAGCAGGAGGCACAGGGCCAGCTCCCAGCGCACAGCCCCCAGGTGCTGGATGCCATCGGAGATCTTCAGGACCCTCCTCCTGCGGAGAGAGGCCGAGGGCGCAGCTGCACTCCGGGTTCACCCGTAGAACTAGCTCGCTTCATTCAAATCCACAAGGCCCAGCTTCTCCCAAAGATGCCAACTAGGAACTTTCCCAGTCAGGGCTGCTGTGAGCCCGACTTCCCCTGGGGATGCAAGTGCGACTACAGGCTTTCTCAGCCAAGGTATCAAGATGCTTTGTTGTTAGGGACCGTGTCCTGGGTGAGAGTCAGAGCCGGGTGCAGAGGAGGGTGGTCGGGGCCGTAGCTGCAGCTGCCTGTACGCTTGCAGGGGGCTGAGCACAGGGGTGAGACTTCAGCCAGAGAAGATTCACAAAATCTCCTCCCCGCTCCTTTGCTCCATCAGAACCCAGGCCGGCATTGAAATAGGCGCAACAGGAAGACCCGCTCAGGTAACAGCAAAGCAGGAATGGCCACTTTCCCTCGCTGTGCAAGTGAGAGTGGTCTCCACGTGCAGCCTGCCCCGCGCCCTCCCGTGGAACACGCAGCCCACAGACAAAGGGTGAACGAAGGACTCTCACATACTCCCAGAACTCGATGACCGGGGAGGTGGCGTTCTCAGAGGTGACATTCAGGGAGCCGTTCGCCTTCTGGAACTCCACACAATGCTCTACCCGGAGTCCCAGGGCAGGGAGAAAGAGAAAGGTCAGCAGTGTACATTCAGCCTGGCGGCGGGGAGTTGGGGGTAGGGCTCTCGGGGCAACGGGAAATAAGGAGTCAAGAAAGAAGTGCAGGCTCACTTTGCCCACCCAAAACATCCCTGTGGGAGCCAGTGCCGTAGCATAGTAGGTTAAACCTCTGTCTGTGGTGTCAGCATCCCATATAAGCACCAGTTCGAGTCCCAGCTGTTCCACTTCCGATCCGGCTCCCTGCTACTGCGCCTGAGTAAGCAGTGGAGCATGGCCCAGGCCCTTGGGATCCTGCGTGCACGAGGGAGACCAGGAGGAACCTCCAGGCACCAGGCTTCAGAGCCGCTTGACTCTTGGGGAGTGAATGAGCAGATGGAAGATCTCTCTGTCTCTGTGCCTTTCAAATAAATAAAGAAAGAAGCCCTGCCCGGCCCACTCTCTCCCCCAGGCCTCCACGTGTGGGTCTCTAAGTGCCTGAGTATGTAACAGCACAGTTGCGTGCCATTAGGAAAGCGATTCCACAAAGCACTTGCTTCAGAATACATACAAACCTATGGGCCATCGTCCTGCAGAAAGCCATGACCTTGGAGAGAGAGTAAGAATGCCTTCCAGGGACCAGGGCAGAAAGCTCTGGCTAGGAGCCAGCATTGTGGCCTCCTGTGATGCTGGCATCCCATATGGGCACCAGTCCAAGGGCTGGCTGCTTCACTTCTTATCCAGCTCCCTGCTAACGCGCCTGGGAAAGCAGCGGAGGACGGCCCAAGTTTTTAGCAATGTGGCTCCCTCCCCCTATAGTGGGTGGAGTTCCAGGCTCCAGAGAGTGAACCAGTGAATAAAGGATATTTCTCTCTCTCTCTCTTCCTCTATGTGTGTGTGACTTTCAGAATAAATAAATAAATTTTGAAAAAGGAAACGGAGCCCAAGGCAGTAGCCTAGTGGCTAAAGTTCTCGCCTTGCATGTGCTGGGATCCCATATGGGTGCCAGTTCATATCCCAACTGCTCCATTTCCCATCCAGCTCGCTGCTTGTGGCATGGAAAAGCATGAAAGGATGGTTCAAAGCCTTGGGACCCTGCACCCAGATGGGACACCAGGAAGAAGCTCCTGGGTCCAGGCTTTGGATAAGCTCAGCTTCAGCCATTGTGGCCACTTGGGGAGTGAATCAACGGAGAGAAGATCTTTGTCTCTCCTTCTCTCTGTAAAAATTTGCCTTTCCTAGAAAAAGAAATAAATATTTAAAAACAAACAAACAAACAAAAAGGCCAGACGCAGTAGCCTAGTGGCTAAAGTCCTCCTTGCCTTGCATGCACCGGGATCCCGTATGGATGCCGGTTCTAATCCTGGCAGCCTCGCTTCCCTCTGTAAAAATCTGCTTTTCCAATAAAAATAAATAAATCTTAAAAAAAAAAGGCGGGGTGGGGGAATAGCCCACCACAGCTTGTTAATGACCCAATGTCAGCTAGACTGTAACCTGTTCTACCATCCCAATTCCCGGGATCAGACCTTGTATGTTTCTACCACTGCACCTTTTGCCTCTGTTTCCCGACTCAAGGCTCTCCCCCCGCCTCCCAGGCAAGCTCCACACAGCAGCCAGAGTGACTTCAATGAATCTTAAGTCACTTTTCATCCCTCCCCAGCTCAACTCACACACAAAGCTAGAAGGGTCCCAGGCATCTTCCAGCCCTCTTCAATCAACCCCACTGGACCCCCCGGCTCCACCTCTTGGTCCCCCTGCTGCTCTGGGCACTCTGCAGTCCCAGGGTTCCCCAGGGTCTTGGCATGGACAGGGCTGGCCCCCATCTCAGGTCAGCCAAGTCAGGTTGCTATGTATCTTGCTGCTTTGGAAATTACACCCTCACACCCACTCTTACCATTCCCGCACCAGAAAGAAAGCAAAGCAAAAGGGAAGGGAAGGGAAGGGAAGGGAAGGGAAGGGAAGGGAAGGGAAGGGAAGGGAAGGGAAGGGAAGGGAAGGGAAGGGAAGGGAAGGGAAGGGAAGGGAAGGGAAGGGAAGGGAAGGGAAGGGAAGGGAAGGGAAGGGAAGGGAAGGGAAGGGAAGGGAAGGGAAGGGAAGGGAAGGGAAGGGAAGGGAAGGGAAGGGAAGGGAAGGGAAGGGAAGGGAAGGGAAGGGAAGGGAAGGGAAGGGAAGGGAAGGGAAGGGAAGGGAAGGGAAGGGAAGGGAAGGAAACTATCCTGCTGTATTGCACTTTCCTCTCTAGCACTTCTTGTTCGCCGTGCAGCTCCTGCCATCGGGACAGGCCTAGGAATGCAGGGATGTCTGAGCTCTGTCTATCCTCAGGGATGCAATCGGCGCCTGCGGGGAGCACAGCCTGTCACCATCTGATCGAGATTCAGCCCCCAGACGCATGCCCGACTTTACACTGCAAAGTCCTAAGTTAAGACGAGCAGGTGAGGACTCCACTGATGCCTTTGTGGTGATGCCTGTAGGAAGGGCTGGGAGTGAGGAGGTCAGAGCGGAGCCCGTGATGGAATCCTGCGGAATCTCCGGGTTATCCCGCACCCTGGACAGTCACACACCTTCACCTCTTCCCCGGTGATGCCGCGCACTACCTCACCACTACCAGCTCCGGGTCTCTTGCTGTGGCACTGTCATCGCTGACCTTGGCACAGCTCAGCAGGTGCCCACTGAGGGCAGAGCCAGAGGGGCATTGTTACCACATCCTGGCAGGATGCAACATCCCCTCTCCAAGATGCCAGGATGGTCTCCCTTGGGTGATCCCAGAAACCCACAGGCAGACAGGCCCCACGGTACCCAGAAGCAGGTGCTGCAGGCCACAGGAAATTAACAACTTTGATTCAGGCAGAATGCAGCTGAGATCTGGAGGGAAGCCTGGCTGTCAAGATCAATTCCAGGGCATATGGGTGGGAGAGAGGGAGAGGGAGGGAGAGAGATAGGGAAGAGGAGGGGAGGGAGGGGGGAGAGAGAGTGGGAGGGGAATAGGGAAGGGAGGGAGGGAGAGAGGAAGGAGAGGAAGAGAGGGGAGGGATGGAGAAGAGAGGAGAGGGGAGGGGAGGGAAGGAAAAAGGAGAAGAAAGGAAAGAAAAGAAAGGAAGGAAGGAAGAAAGGAAAGAAGGAAAGAGAACATAAGAATACATATACACATGCATGCAAGGGTGCTTCAAAATCTTCATGAAAAAATATAATTAAAATGAGTTTATTTGGGTGCAAAGAAAATTTGAAAGCCATGCATAGGAGGGAATCTCCAAAAAAGTTCAAAGAAAATGTATATTATGAAAAAGTATGTGGTCCTACAGCTCAGTGGCTAAAATCCTCACCTTGCAACCACTGGGATTCCCCATGGGCACCAATTCATGTACTAGCTGCTCCACTTCCCATCCAGCTCCCTGCCTGTAGCCTGGGAAAGCAGCCGAAGGTGCCCCAAAGCCTTGGGACCCTGCACCCTTGTGAGAGACCTGGAAGAAGCTGGAAGAAGCTCCTGGCTCCTAGCTTCAGATCAGCTCAGCTCCAGCCGTTACTGGGAGCTGAGTGAACTAGTGGATGGAAGATCTTTCTCTGTGTCTCTCCTTCTCTCAGTAAATCTGCCTTTTCAATAAAAATAAATAAGCATTTCTTAAGAAGAAAAAAATCATGCATGGATTTCAAGATCTTTGCGCCAAAATAAATAGATATTCTTTGCTTCTATTGCCATGAACTTTCTGAAATATTCTCAGATCTAAAAAATTGTAAAGGAGTTGGAAGGCAGGCTGTGAAGCCTTGATGCATTCGGCACGTGTTTCCAAGTGCTTCTAAGAGAGACAGCACCGTTCTCAGGGTGACAGATGAAGAAATAATGACTCTCAAGACTGTCCACCCTTGAGATCTTACCAAGATGAGGGAGGTGGATTCCAAGTCAGTAAGCAGACAGGAAGCCAGGGAATGGTGTGGTAGGGCCATGGGTCACTGTAGACACTGACCCATTTAAGAAGAAATCAATGACATCTTGTCAGGATCTCAATTTAAAAAGGGCAGGGAGGAAAAAAGGGGCTTGGGAGGCGGCGGGAAGGCAGGGAGATGGAGGATGACAGAGCCTGACCAGGAAATGCCTGAAGGGGAGCTTGGAGAACGAAATGCCAAGACAGGTCCTGGTGAGCCAAGAGGACTTGCCAGAACCCCAACCATCAAGAGGAAAGATCTCTGTGCCACTCCTGGCACACTTACCAGAACAAGAACTTATTGGAACAAGAAAGAAGTAACTGTGATTAGCGCAACTTCCAAAAGAGGGCCTTCACAGCCAGGCTCTGAAAGATATGGCCACAGGAGGATAGGACACAGCACTGAGAGTGCAAACAGCTCTGTGCCAACTGCTCTCCCACTGCCCCGTCTGCGGGGGGAGCCACCAGTCATCCATGGCCACTTGCATGCGAGTGTGTAAATTTGGCTCTTCTCACAAGCCGGCCATGTCACTAGTGTTCTATAGCGTCAATTGCAGCCATGTAGGCCACGTGGACAACGCTTCCCGCAACACAAGCATGTGGACAGCGCTGTCCTAGGTGTTGTTGTGGTTGTCACTTTCCACGTATTCAGTTTGGTTGTTCTGTCGCCTTAGAAGGCTTGTGCAATCATAGAAGCGCAGGTCAGATTCACTGAGGCCATAAATTCCCTAATGAAGCCCAGAAAGTTAAGCTTGAAAGATCTAAAATGGTTTTGGAAAGAAGAGAAATCATTAAAGAAACAAATAGCATATACATCCATCAAACTAGCCACGCTTCACACAGAAAAAGATAGCTAGACTACATTTTCAAAAATCAGTTCTGTTGACATAATACATGAATAAGACGTTTCCATTAAGTCTGCGATGCAGACACACACATGGAGCTGTCATCCTCTGGTTCCTTTCCCAAACGCCCACAGTGGCCAGGGCTCGGTCGAGTCAAACCGGGAATCTCAAACTCATTCCATGCCTTCCGTGTGGGTAGGTGGGCACTACTTGAATCATCACTGCTCTTTCCCAGGCTGTGCCTTAGCAAGAAGGTGATGGAGCCGGGACTGAAGGCAGCAGCTTAACCACTAGGCCCAACATCCACCCATGGGTCTTATTTTTTTTTTTAATTAATGTGTTTATTTAAAGGCAGAACTACAGAGAAAGAGAAAGAATGATTTTCCTTCTGCTAGTCACTCTCCAAATTTCCCTGTTAGCCAGGGCTAGGCTCGGCCTAAGCACAGGAACCTACAACTCCATCGGCATCTTCCACATGGGTGCAGAGTCCCAAGCACTTGGGCCATCTTCTGCTGTTTTCCCAAGCACATTAGTAGGAAGCTGGATTGAAACTGGAGCAGCTGGGACTCGAGCCACCACCTATGTGGCATATGGCCATTGCAAGTGATGGTTTAGCCCACTGAATCATAACATTGGTCTCTAGATCTATATTTTATGATGCAAGTTCTTCATGATCAACTTGGCCAATTCCTAGTGGGTGCTGATATGGCCATTGGGTTGCCTGGGACGTAGGGACAATCCCACTTCTGGTTAATGTGGTGGTGGTGGTGTGCATGGTGGTGGGGGTGGTGGGGGAGACGTAGACCCTCTGACAACCTTCTGGTGACAACCTCACCTGTATTCCACTCATGGTGACAGCTTCCCCAGGGGAGGTCGACAGTGAAGCTGCTGAAGAGGTAGAAGAGGGCCCAAGCCAGGACGATGATGTAGTAGATGTTGAGGAGGATGACAATCATCTGGGAGGCATAGCCGATGCCTGTGATGGGGGAACTGCAGGACTGAGCAGGGAGCCCAGACGGGCTTCACACACCCTGCCCTGCCCAGGGTAGGAGAAGCTGCCCTCCACCTGGGCAAACTGGCCAGAGGTTGTGCTTCTGCTCCAGCCTCTGCCAGCCCACTGCAGGTCACGACGGCGGGGAGGCTTCCCGCTGCTGTCCCACAGCCCCTATGTCCTGCACAGCTTCCAGCGACCTCCAAAACTTTCAGGTGCCAGAAGTGCTGGCTCCCCACTTGCTATACTCTGAGACAGGAAAGCACAAACCGAGAGCGGCAACTAGCAATTCACACGGGACTCCAGAGCTTCCAAGGAGCACCACACAAAACCACAGCGAGACATCCAAACCTCCGGATCATGCTTACAAATTCTCCCATACAGAGGTTTCTGATGACAGCCATTGAGAGACAATGAGAACATCCCAGATGGGCTCATACTAAAGGCTACTCTGAAGGTTCCTGGGGGACCCCAGTGTGCTGGGGTCTCTGGAAGAATACAGATTAGGTGCACTGCTTCCGCCTGAGTGAGGCTGTCTGTGGATGAGGTACTTCCATGGGACACCTTGAGCCACAGCATCAACTTGTTACTCTTGGATCCATAACCTGGGTACTCACTGGATCCAGGCATTCTAATCTTAGGAATTTTTCTCAACAAAATCCTTGCAAAAAGTTGGGGGTTGCTATCTGCACAAACAGACACAAGGGCAGAATACAATAATTTTACAAAATAAATGAAAAATAGACAAGAAAATCCCAAACGGAGAACTGTTCATTTTGCTGGATCACCTTGAGAAGAATTTGTGTAACCGATAGAAAATAAAGAACTCAGCAAACTGAGCAAAAAGAAAACATCTTCTATACTAATAGTTACAGAAACTCTGAGGAAAAAATATTGAAATAAACTACACACACACACATACACACAAAATGGAAAAACTCAATTATCCTTCAATGTGTAAAGGGTTAACGATGGGACAGCTACTCTGGGCAAACTGCTCAGGGAAGAGAAGGAATGAGCAATAACTACCCAGCCCAGGAGGTTCAATGGGCTTTGAGAGCATGGCTTGCAAGGAAGGGAGAGCTAACCTCGCAAAGCCACACCCTGCATGACTCTATCACTGTATGTCTCTCAGAGTGACAAACCAACAGACAGAATGCCTCCGTAATTTCCAGAAGTCAGCCGTGGGGGAAGTCTGACCACAATGGTGGCTGCAGAGTATTGTCTGACATGGACCAATCTCTGACTTCACAGTGGAGGTGGTTATCCGAACACACCGCTGTAACATTATCACCACATGCACACACGTCAAATGCGTGGAAAACCAGCGAGAGCTCAGGGCATCTGCGGACAGTGGCAGCGTGGACTTCTGGGCCTCGCTGTTGCGCTGTCGCTGTGTGAGATGTTGTCATTGGGGAAAGCTGACGGCAGTCACTCAGGACCTCTCGTTGTCATCCCCGCGACATCGTTCAGCCAAACAAGAGTTTGTTTAAAGGAAACCACATACGCATACAGACAGGTTCCAAGGTTACATGCCTATTTAAATTTTCTTTACCTGTTGGTTTTGAAGTAAATATAAGAAAACACCCCTATGGCTCCTCCATGCTCTGATGGGCCGGGTGGCCAGCCTGGTGCTCAGCCCGCACACGGAGACGCCCAGGCCTCCCAAGACCTCACACCCGCTGCTCGTGGTGGGCAGGTCCTGGAGCCAGGCACAGTTTTACTTACCCTCAAAGATGGGACAGATCTTCCTCCAGGCTGTGATGCCACCCTGGCTGGTGTACTGGCCCAGCGCTGTCTCCAAGAGGAAGACGGGAATGCCACAGGTGAAGAGGAAGATGAGGTAGGGGATGAAGAAGGCGCCTGTGGGCAGAAGGAAGGTGATATCCTCCTCGTGGTCCACGTTCCTCTTCTCCCATGACCACCCCACCCTGCACCCCTGTCCGTGCCAGGAGAAAGAATGTGCGGACCTGTGGGAGACAACCTGTGCCCAAAAGTCTCTCCAGGGAGCAACCAGGGATACCACGTGACCAGGGAGCAGAATGTCCTCCACCAACCCAGGCCTGCAACATGCTGCGCATCAGCCTACACGGTATAACCTGAGCAGCATCCTTGAAGCCCCCTGACCCCCATGGAATGACTGTGCCTAACATCAGGCAGGGACATTCAGCAGGCTGGCTGCAGAACCCCTCTTTAGGAACCTTTCCACTTCTGTCCTCATGACCACTGGTCAACATGAAGCTGAGGATGGCCAAAGTACTGGTCCTGTCTCTGCTGGCAGCCTCCATGTGCTGGACAGGGGAGCTTGTGGGAAGTATACCAGAGGACAGAGAGGGACCCCTGGGAGAGTCCCCTCCAGCTTCCAGCTGGGGCAAGTCGGGACATGTGGATAAAGGAACGAACTGGGGTGAGATGAGGGCCCATGCAAAAACAGAGAGGTAACGAGACTCACATAGCCTCACCCACCCATTGGACAGCAATGTTCAGAGGCCCTGGGCATGGGCTAGAACACGCCGCAGGTCATTTCCTCAGTAGGCCAGAATCCTTCCGTTCCACCCTCACAAAGCAGGAGATGCAGAAGGACCAACTGGCTTCAGCAGTCCCAGACACAACCCAAGCATCTTGGCAGCCACAAAACCACCCAGCCTCCAGGTTGGCATCCATCCCAAAAGCACTGGGAAAACCAGGAAAGTGGGCAATGTGACAGGTGCATAAAGCAAAGGTGACACACACGCACACCACGCAACATGATTCAATCATCAAGAAATGAGATCCTGTGATTTACAGCAACACGCGTGGCACAGTCCTGCGTGTTCTTATTCCTATGCAGAAGCTGAAAGGGTTGATTTCATAGAGGTGGAAAGTGTAATAGTGGTTGCTCAAGGGAAGGAAAGCTGAACAGAGGGACAGTACAGAGGTGGGCACACAGACAAGGCCGAGTGTAGCAAGTTAAGCTGCTGCTCAGGCCTACAGGAGTGCCAGCTTGAGTTCGGTTGCTCTGCTTTCAGTCCTGCCTCCTGTTCATGCATTTTGGGAAACAACATATGATGGGTCATATAGACTCTTGTTGAGCCCCTGTGCCTGCTTGGGAGACCCAGAAGAAGCTCCTGGTTACTGGCTTCGGATTGTCTCAGGACCAGTCCAGCTCTGGCTGCAGCAGCCATCTGGGGAGTGTAACAGCAAATGAAAAATCAACTCACTCTTTCTTTCTTTCTTTCTTTCTTTCTTTCTTTCTTTCTTTCTTTCTTTCTTTCTTTCTTTCTTTCTTTCTTTCTTTCTTTCTTTCTTTCTTTCTTTGTTTCTCTCTCTCTTTCCTTCCTTCCTTCCTTCCTTTCTTTCTTTATCTCTGTCTCACCTCTTTCTGTAACTTTGCCTTTCAAATAAAAAGAATAAATCTTTAAATAAGTCTTGTGTTAATAAACTATGCATGAAGTTTTCAAAGTTCATAGAAATGTTTGTTATGAATACTTATACATGCATTGCAAATTTTTTCGCACCAAAAGAAACTTATCTTTTAATTCAGTTTCCAGTGAACTTTTTGTGTGCCAAGTGGTGCCCCCATTTCAGTTACTGAGGCACAGACCTCTTCAGGTCTTCACTGTCCAAACCTTTAGCTTGCTGTCTACACATCCACAATTCCACTCCAGCTCTCGAATTAAAGCACTAAGGGAGCCCTTGGGCACCCTGAGGGTGAATAAATCAAGATCAGAAATAATTTCAGCCTCGTCCATCACTAAATTAATCCAAGACTTGGCGAACAAGAGGGAACAATTAGGGAGAAGAAGACCCTGTGGCTGAAAGGAAGAAAGGCAACTGAGAGCGCCACGCATTCCAGAAAGGAGGAGCAACGGGCCTGGGCTCAAGCCCTTCCCCATGTGCGTGACCTGATTTTTCCCAACAAACTTAGTGAATGTTTAACTGCAGCAGATCCTCTTTTCCTCTGACTCTCAGCATCTGGGCCACCTGTCAGAGCAGACAAAGTCCACAGCTGCCAGGAGGTCCTATTGCCCCTAGAAGTGTGGGAGGGATACATGGATGTGCCCAGATACACACCAGGCACAGTCCTGGGTAGCTTCTCGGTCAGTCACTGTCATCCAAGGACAATCAGGACAGCACATGGTGTTCCAATTGCCTGGGCCCCTGTGTCACCCAACTTCTGAAAATTCTAACAGATGCTGACATTTCCCCTTCAGAGCTATAGGCCAGCTCTTGAAGGGGCATGCCCTGTGGTGTCTGAGGCAAAGAAGTGACCATCTACATGAGGGACACCTCAGTGAGCAGCCAAGAAGCAGTACTAGCAGTGGGCGTGGAGGGAGGTGATCAGCCATCAACACATCTTTGGAGTGTTCCCTCTCTGCTGGGGCCATCACAGGCAGATGGGCACCTAATGTCCTGGGTGGCATGAACCCTCTTGCCATGGCAACCCTGAGTGCCCTCTCCCCTCCCAACAACCATCCAGGACTAAGGTAAGCTTGGCTGCCACCACCTTCTCTTACCCACAGTACTGCTCTCTACTCCCCACCACCACCACCAAGATGCCCACAGCTCAGAGGCCCGGCTGTGATGCCTCTCGCTGTGGCCTCCAGTCCCACATAGCCCAGGTGCCAAGGAGCACAAGGCCACAGGCAGGGAGCCAAAGAGGTTCTCACTCCTGAACGTAGTGCCTGAGGCCTGTTGTTGAGGTGGGCAAGAAGGAGTCTGAGGGTGCTTCCTGCTCTCTGCTTCTACCCTTGCTCTTTCATTATCTGCTGTCTGCGCAGCAGTCAGACACAGGGACCCACTGCTGCTCAAAAGCCCACTCTCCCTTTACAAGCTGCCTCAGTAAAAACTGACATCTTCCAAGGGCCCATGATGCTCTGCCCTATTGGCCCACAACTCCTCCAGCCCATTTTCTCCTGGAACCTCATCTTCTGCTCACTGCACCTGCTGCAGGCTCCTCCAGACTCTGTTCCTTTGCCCACCACACTGACCCTTTCTGCCTCCTGGCAAGTTTTCTCTGGCACCTGCCCCTATGCCCATGTGGGAGACCTAGAGGATGCTCCTGGCTCCTGGCTCCAGATCAGACTCAGCTTCAACTATTTTAGCCATTTGAGAATTGAACCAGTGTATGCAAAATCTAGAAGATAGATAGATAGATAGATAGATAGATAGATAGATAGATAGATAGATAGATAGATAGAAGAAAGATACCTTATGCAGGTGAAGTAAATCTGCCTTTCAAATTAAAAAGGTGGAGGCAGGTGGCTGAATCCCAGGACTCCCAAGGATGCCTTGACTATAGGCTACCAACTGGGATGAACATGCTGGAAGGTATGTCCTGCCCATGCAGAGAAAGGCCATGGCAGCCATCCAGCTGCCTCCACCTTCCCGCCCAGCATCCACATGAAACACCAAGGGCCACAGGCTTGCCTTTCTGCTTCTGCACTTTGCGTGCCAGCTGCCATCAAACATCCCTGCTCACACTCACCCCTTGCCAGCGGCATAGCCTGAACCCAAATGCTACTGGACAGATCCAGCGGTGTGGACCCCACATCCCTGGCCACTACTCCCTCTCCAGCGCCCTCTTCAGGTCAGCCATGTGTCTTACTCCCATCTCTTGGTGCCATTCCTAATTCCCAGGCCAACCTTTACCCAATTCCAAAGAGGCTTGGGCAAAGCTGCTCACTCCTTAATCCTTCTGCCACGTGAGAGGCTAAGCCGGTCACTGGGTTCCTGAGCCATGGTTCCAGTGGCCCTGCTTCCACCCCCAGCCTCCTGCGAACGCCTCAAGCCAGCCACAGCCTCTACCTACGCCCCTAATGTGAGCGTGATCTGGCCTGAATTCCTCCACAAGCTCATGGAAAGTCCGGAGGAGAAAGCGGGAAGGCCTGCCCCCCTCTTCCCTCGCGACGTGGACAGAGCAAAGTCCTGTGATTCCAGGCCACTGGCCAGAAATTCCTGGGGAGGAAGGACACATTGGCCCATTCCCATCCCTTCTGGAAAAACACAGTCCCGGAGCCCATCTTCCACCGCCACTAACCTGGGAGCCAGACCCCATGGCCCAGAGAGTCTCTGTGATGACCCCTGACCCCACCTCCAGCCTGGGTTGTGTAACTGTCCCCCTTCGCGGTCAGCATGAGATGGCAGCATGAGAGTGTGGAGGTTCTCCCTCGCCTGCAAAAGGGCAGATGCTGCGTTTGGGGACCCTCCAATCCTTGCAGCCTCTGCAACTGCCCTTCTTGACGCTTCCCCAGGGACCTCCTCCTGTTTGCTGCTGCTGCCACCTGCCCTCTTGCTGCTGCAAAACTAGGCTTGCCCACCCACAAGGAGCTCTCCCTGAGTCACAGAGCAGCCAGACCTCTTGGGCACCTGGGAAACCCCCCAGGGCCTTCTGTCAACACTTTCTCTGACAAGTGAGGTCTTGGTAGCATAAGCAACCAGGGCTGTATGGGGCAGGAACAGAAAGCTAAGGTAGCAGTGATCGAGTGAAGAGGTACAGATGTACACATGTGTACACACACACACACACACACACACACACACACACTGTGTCTTTTTAAAGGAAGGGCCCTTGGGGTCAAAGTTCATCATCCTATCCTAGCAGGACAGTTGGATGAAGTGAGCCAGGAAAGGGGAGGAGAAGAGGCGAAGGCAGAGGAATCTGAAGACCACACAGCAGGCTGGTGCCAACACCACCACGCCCACTGCCGCTGTCCATTACACATCACACGTCCATCAGCTCCACCCCATTCTCACGATCTTGGAAAGCCACAGAGTCTCATCTTGATTCACTGGAGGAAAAAGCAAGGATTCTCATCCCAGCGTATGGAAAGCAGCCAAGTCTCCAAGAGCCTGGGAACCTGGCCGACACCAAACAGGCTGCGGGGGACAGCCTGAACCTGAACCCTGCTCCATCGGGTCCCGAGCCTGCTTCTGGTTTCCATGACATCATGCTCTAACAGAAAGAGCTCTCTGGAAGCCATGAGATTTTTCTCTCCCTGGATTCTTAATACTCTATGGAATATCTATGGGAACCCCAAGGGGCAGCCAGTACAGGGGTGCATGGGATGACGCAGCGGCTCTCACCTCCCCCGTTTTTGTAGCACAGATAAGGAAATCTCCAAACATTGCCTAAGCCAACGATCTCCCCAACCACAGACAGGACAAACTCCATCTTGTTGTTCCAGTGCTCCCGCTCCAGCGTGCTGTTTTCCTCCGCCTTTTCCATGACTGGACACATTGCTTTTGTCTCTCCATTCCTGGCTGTGCCTGAGACTGTGCTGTCCATCCCACCTGGAAAACAAGTAGGAGGCCGGGTTGCTTTGCTGCTGAACATCTCAGAAGGACAGCCTTCCCCTCGCCCCTCGGTCAAGCAGTCCCAATGGAACAGACGCACACACAGGGATACGGGCATGCCTTTCCCGGGACCTGCAGGCTTGTGGCCTCCAAGCATGTCGGACTGGGGAGGGCTGAGTCTCAGCCACTGAGAAAATGCTGTCCTGGCCTGCCTCGGGAAGGAAGTGCTGCTGCGAGGGCACACCTGCCTGTGGCTGCACAGGTTCTCTTGCCCTGGTTCTGTGGGCGTGGATGGATCAGCAGAGCCCCGTGGGTTATCTGGGTTGCCTGCCACCTCGCAGCCAGCATCATGTGTAGAACTAGCAAGTGTTTCCATTCCTTTACTCTGTATACTCCAGTGCAATAACAAGACTGGATGCAATCTCACCATGATTAATGAGGTCCTGCCTGGTGACCTAGCAAGCTAATCCTTTGCCTGCGGAACAGGCAACTAATACATGGGTGCCAGTTCGAGTCTTGGCTGCTCCACTTCCGATCTAGCTCCCTACTTATGACCTGGGAAAGCAGCAGAAGCTGGCCCAAGTCCTTGAGCTCCTGCAACCATGTGGAAGACCTGGAAGAAGCTCTTCACTACAGCCGTTGTAGCCACCTAGGTAGTGAACCAGCAGATGGAAGCTCTCTCTGTCTCGCCTTCTCTCTCTGGAAATCTTCTTTTCAAACAAAAATAAACCAAGTCACTGATATCCCCTATGGTGAAGTTACCATAAAGGAGCATTTGTGACTGAGGGTAAGGATTTGCCACTAAGGCCATTCGTTATTTCTAATAATGAATAACGAATATTTTGAATAACTTATTAGAAAGTACATGAATGTCCAACCATGCTAGGTAAGGTGGTGGGCGTTTGATACAGCAGTGTTAACGCCCTGTTTGAGTGCCTTGGGTTCAAGTCCAGTCTCCACCCCAGCGCCCTGGAAACACACCCGAGGCAGGCAATGGGGCATGGCTCAGCTGATTGGATCCCTGCCGTCCACGTAGAAGGTCTGGAGTGAGCTCTGGTCTCCTGCCTTGAACCTGGCCCAGCCCAGTCAGTTGTGTGTGGGGCACTCGGGGAGTGAACCAGCAGAGGAACAACCTCTCCGGGTATTCTTCCCTTTCTCAAATAAGAAAATGTGTAACCATTTTCAATGGTAGCTAGGCTAATAAATCATGACACCCATAACCCTTGGACTGTTATATAATCATTTAAAACCATGCCTGTGGAAAGCCATATTGTGAAATAAAAGGCTGTCCACAGTATACGAAGGGAAAGCATCACGTGGGATATGATTATGCTTGACAACTATTTTACAAAGGGTACACACCCCAGGGTTCCTCTCTTAACGGTTGGATTATGGAACCATTTTGCTTATCTGTGCATTCTACAACTCCCTCAAAGAATGTGCTTTACTTGAGTAATAGGAAAAGTCTTTTTTTAAAAAAAAAAAAATGTCACGATAGCCTAGTGGCTAAAGTCCTCGCCTTGAATGCGCCCAGATCCCATATGGATGTGGGTTCTAATCTCGGCAGCCCCGCTTCCCATCCAGCTCCCTGCTTTTGGCCTGGGACAGCAGTCCAGGACGGCCCAAAGCCTTGGGACCCTGTACCCGTGTGGGAGACGCGGAAGAAGCTCGTGGCTCCTGGCTTTGGATTGGCTCAGCTCCAGCCGCTGTGCTCACTTGGGGAGTGAATCATCGGATGGGAGAGCTTCCTCTCTGTCTCTCCTCCTCTCTGTATATCTGATTTGCAATAAAAATAAATAAATCTTTAACATCAAGGACAAAAAAAATAATAAAAACATTTCCAAGGGAATGAACATGGTCACACGAGACCAGAGACTGAGCAGGTGATATGATCTGTGCAGGGACTCCCTCCACTTCCCTCCTGTGCCACCAGGGAAGACAGGAGTGGGGGGGACAAGGGGCTCCTTTTCTCTGTTGCTGATGGCATACACTGAAAGTCACAACAGCACAAAAGCGAGAGAGCCGCCACTCTGCACTTCGTGAACTCAGTATTTGGTACGTGATGCTCACAGCCACCCTGAGATCGCAGTCCTGCTACCACGGCTTCCAGAGGAAGGAAACCAGCTGCTAGTCAGAGCGACTCTACAAGGTGCCTGTTGCCAAAGGGCTGGTAAATTGCACAGCCGGGACCTGAGCCTATTCAGCCCCACTGTTCTTTCAGCCACATCCCTTCCATGCCACTGGCGCCCAGGGTCATCACGTATCTCCTGTAAGCATCTTCCAAAGATGTCCCCCACCCCACCCCGACCAGGGGACACAGAAGCCCCTTCTGGCCTCCTCCATTGCTCCTTGCCCACCAAGCGATCCAGAGAGAAGTCAGCCTGCCCTGAATGCCTTTGCTTAGCTCACACACTCGGGCTCAGGCTATGGAGACCATGTATGGGGGAAACAGAAGTCAGAGATTCCACAAGGTTCCCCAATGGCTCCCCCATGCTTTTGGGGGGGCTGGGGGGTGGTTTAAGCTCCCACGTAGGCTCCAAGCCACCATCCCCACCGTACAGGCGACACCCAGTAATGGGTCCTAGCCTCACTCTGCTGCCTGACTCTCTCCAGCTCTGAGCCGTGCTCCCCTCCTCCTGTCGAACCTAAGAGATGTTAACCTGGGTTCCAACCCCGAGTTTTGGTCTCATACCCCTGCCTGACTTCGGGGAAGTTAATGAGTAACACTGACCCTTGGTTGGCTCAGAAGTAGGCACAAGAGAATTTGCTTGACAATGGGATTAGATGAGGTCAATAAGGAAACTCCAACAAGTACATGAAAAATGGATTCAACAGGTGCATCCAGGCTCGCGCTAACACTGAAAATCCAGCCCACTTTTGTTTTTGTTTTCCTTCAGAGCCCTCCCATGAACTTTCAGAGGATCCCTTGTTTAGTGCACTGACAGGCACTTAAATATTTGGTTTTCTTTCAGTTCTGCCCAAGAGTCAGTTGTGGTCCTCTCTCACCAAGAAAGCCTTGCTGTTCTTGGAATTCAACATGCTTCCTATTTATCTAGAGCTCTCTGGCTGCAAGTCACACTGCCCCATAAGTCATCAGCCACCTGTGCTTCCGAAGTCAGGAAAATAGCTTGCAGACTCCGCCCAGGCACACCTAAGTGTCAGATGATTAAAGCCTTCTTTGGCTGTTAGTTCCTCGGATCCCACCAACCTGCAGTCAGACTCAGAAACAGAGAGAGAGAGAGAGAGAGCACACGCAGGCGCAAGAGAAGAAAACTTTCCGCACCTTACAAAAGTGGTTGCCGGAGGTCCAGTCCGAGGAGCGTTGTCCAAGGGGGCAGGGGCAGGCCCTGGCTATTTAAAGTGTGGTTCCCTCACGCCTCTGTGCCACTTGTAATTTGAAACCTGGCCCAGCCCACATTCCGCTCTCAGGCCTCCCCCCTCCCCTCAGACCCCTCCCCTCTGCCATCAATCAACCCAGCCTGGGGACTGTGTGCACACCCCAGCTGAGTGTGTGAGTGTGTGCCGGGACAGCTGGGCCCCTTCCATGTGAGCTTGCGGACAGCACAGGCTCTCTTCTCTGCAGGCCATCGCTCTTCCCGTGGGGTGACCTCATGATATAGTGGCTGTTACGACACTATATCAGCTCCAAGACACCTCATTTTGGAAGGATGGAATTGTGGCAGCATGGGGAAAGGGGCGCACCTACATGAAAGATCTAGAAGAACTCCTGGTTTCTGGCTTCAGATTACATCAACTCTGGCCGTTGCAGCCATTTGGGGAGTGAACCAGCAAATGAAAAATCTCTCTCTGTTCGTCTCTCCTCTCTCTGTAAAATCTGCCTTTCAAATGAAAATAAATGAATCTTTAAAGAAAAAGATTGATTGGTAAGGCAGAGCAATGAAGAGAGAGCAACAGAGAGCTCTTCCACCTGCTGATTCACTCCCCACATGGCCACAGCAGCTAGGGCTGGGTCAAGAACGCCATGCATGTCTCCCATGTGGCTGGCAGGGGCCCAAGTGCTTGAGTTATCCTCCACTGCCTTCCCAGGTGCATTGGTAGAAAGATTGATCACAAGCAGACCACTTGGGACTCGAACCCGCATTCTGATATGGGATTGCCAGCATCACCAGCTGGTGACTTCACTAGCTGTGCCGCAATCAATGTTGACCCCCTTCTAGTTTATTTATTTATTTATTTTTATTGCTAAATCAGATATATAGAGAGAGGAGGAAAGACAGAGAAAAATATCTTCGGTCTGATGATTCATTCCCCCCAAGTGACCGCAACAGCCGGAGCTATGCTGATCTAAAGCCAGCAGCTAGGAGCTCTTCTGGGTCTCCCACGCGGGTGCAGGGTCCAAAGGCTTTGGGGTGCCTTCGGCTGCTTTTCCAGGCCACAAGCAGGGAGCTGGATGGGAAGTGGAGCTGCCTGGATTAGAACCGACGCCCATATGGGATCCAGGCACATTCAAGGTGTGAGGACTGTAGCCGCCAGGCCACCGCACTGGGCACAGCTGCTTCCAACATCCACTGAAGGAAATGATCCTTTCGTCCCAGTGCTCATTTCCCACCCCCTTGCTAACTACACATCTGTTAAACTGTGCAAAGCTCAGGTTGTGAATTGACACCAAAAAACAAGTCCATCTTCAAAGCAATCCCACTGAGTCTTTTTTTTACTTACCGTGGAGTGGTTCCTAATGGCCTACGAGTTGAGCTCCTCAGCATTATAAAGGTTGGCATCTGGACTCTAGAATGACTGAATGACTGGGGTTGACTGAGGACTCAAATCATTGATACAAGAAGTTGTATCCAAATGGTCTTGGCAAAATGGCACAGCCCCCTTGCAGGGCCCCACACATGCAAACAGCGGGCATTTTCAGGAAAGACTGGCAGTGCCTGGGACATCTCCTGTCTTATCCTAAGCTAGTCTTGAGTTGTGGCTCTTGAATTAGGGCATGTCAATCGTCTCTAATTAACTTTTACCATGTTCTGATTCTTCTCCAAATCTTTGTTACTGCCAATTTCTTTGTTTTCTGTGAAGTAGGGATAGCTATTGGGTCTTTTGCCCTGCTCAGATGGACTGAAATAAAATGTAAATGTTTGAGGAGCTAGTGTGATGGCACAATGGGTGAAGCCACTGCTATCACCAGCATCTCATATCAGAGTGTCCCTCAAGTCCCTGCTGATCTGATTCTGTCCCAACTTCCTACTAAGGAGTGTGGAAAAGCACATGATGGTCCAAGCACTTGGGTCACTGCAACCCACAGGGAGATGAGGGTGAGTGGGGTTCCTGACTCCCAGCTTTAACCTGACCCAGACCTGGCTGTTGGAGCCACTCGGAAGTAAATCAATGGGTGAAAACTACCTCTGTTTCTCTTTATATATATTTTTCACACACACACATACACTAGAAACTCCAAAGCAGGAGTGTATAAAATCAAGAGAATTCTGGAAAAAGCAGGCCTGAGAGGACTTGGTTTCTCAAATTGATCCTGGGAATATTTCATCACCAACCTGCCAATTTATTGGAAAGTCAGATATTCAGAGAGGAGGAGAGACAGAGAGGAAGATCTTCTGTCTGATGATTCACTCCCCAAGTGACTGCAACGGCCGATGCTATGCCGATCCGAAGCCAGGAGCCAGGAACCTCTTCCAGGTCTCCCACACGGGTGCAGGATCCCAAAGCTTTGGGCCGTCCTCAACTGCTTTCCCAGGCCACAAGCAGGGAGCTGGATGGGAAGTGGAGCTGCCGGGATTAAAACCGGCACCCATATGGGATCCCGGCACGTTCAAGCCGAGGACTTTAGCCGCTAGGCCACTGCGCCCGGCCCTGTTGCTTAGTTTTTGAAGTGGCTGCTATATTTGGAACATTAATCCTTGTCAGATAACTGGTTTGCAAATATTATTTCCTTTTCTGTTAGATGTCTCTTCACTGTCTGGATCCTTTTCTTTGCTAAAGCAGAAGCTCTTGGGCTCGGCGCGGTGGCGCAGGTGGTTGAGGGTCCTCGCCTTGCACGCCCGGGATCCCATATGGGCGCCGGTTCTAGTCCCGGCAGCCCCGCTTCCCTTCCAGCTCCCTGCCTGTGGCCTGGGAAGGCAGTCGAGGACGGCCCAAAGCTTTGGGACCCTGCACCCACGTGGGAGACCCGGAGGAGGCTCCTGGCTTCGGATCGGCATAGTATCGGCCCGTTGCGCTCACTTGGGGAGTGAATCGTCGGACGGAGGATCTTCCTCTCTGTCTCTCCTCTCTGTATATCCGCCTTTCCAAAAAAAAAAAAAAAAAAAAAGCAGAAGCTCTGAGTTGGATAGGTTCTCATTTGCTTAGGTTTGCTTTGGTCACCTGTGCTTTGGGGGTCTTTGCCAAGAAGCCATCCCTGGCTCCAGTGTCTTAGAGTGTTTCCCCTATATCTGCTTCCAGCGGCTCCATAATCTCAGGTCTTACACTTAGGTCTCTGATCCATCTTGACATATGTGTTAACTTGCTGTGTGATAAAGCTCCTGTCTGCACAGGGTGAGAGGTATGAAATTAATTTCACCTTTCTGCATTTGCGTATTGATTTTGGCCAATACCTTTTGTTAAACAGAACCCAAGCAGAATCCCAAGACCATTGTGCCAAATGCTGGCCCCTGCACACAGTCCAACCTTCCTACACGATGGTGATACACAGTCTGGGCTGAGAGCCACCCAATCCGAGGCACCTCCCTGCACCCTCAGTCAAGCCTCCAATGAAGACTTTGCCCCTGAATATCCAAAAAAAAAAAAAAACCAATTTCTCAATTCTCAAACCATTGCAGTGGGAAGATAGCACATCCCACTCCCAAATCACATAATCCCCAGCCTGGCCCTTCACTTAGGCCTTTTCCAAATCACCCATTGACATCGGCTGGGAAACATGGACCACAAGGGATGCTGGACCTGGGCCAGTGGTGGGCACACCTGGTCACAGAAAAGTGGGAGAGATTTTAAAAGATGTTCTCTGGCTGTCCCTAAGAGGCAGCCACATTTGGAAGCTTCTGCGGCTGAGGGAAGAGGTATGGCAGCTGGTCTTGTATTGTGCTTGAAACATTTTTCCAAAACCATCCCCAACCATCCAAAATAAATAACCCTGCAGCCTTTGATCTCGCCTGAGAGCTATGACCTCGTCTCTTCCTGCTGATAGCACTGTTCTTTCTGGAAGTTCTCCAGGCTCACAGCATCCCAGCCCAGCTTCAAGGGTGCCTGCATTCCCATCCCAGTCCTCGGCTCCCACCCACCCACTGGACACTCAGCAAAGGACGGAATTCTGTCTCCTCGCTCATGTGACCCAAGAGGGGGAGGCCTAAAGGCGGCCCAGGAAATCACCTGCAAAAGGGTGACTTTCTAGAGAGTTCTACAAGATGGCCAGTTGGGGGCAGTGGGGGGAAATACAAATTAAAGACATCAATGTGGAATAAGAAGAGGGCAGATTCCAGTGTGGTTCGAAGCATGAATGTGGGGCCGGCTTTCGGCAGAGTCAAGTCCCTCCCTGGGACCCCAGCATCCCCTCCACAGTCATGAAGTTCACAGCATGGCTCCACTTCGTATCCAGCTTCCTACAAATGCACACCCCGGAAGGCCACTGTGACCACATGGGACTCCCTACCTCCCTGCACTTAGTTTAAACAAAAAAAATTTTTTTTTCTTTAACTCAAAAGGCAGAGTTGCAGAAAGCAAAGGAGACAGGGAGAGAGATCCACTGGTTCACTCCCCAAATGACTGCAGCGATCAGAAGCCAGGAGCTTCTTTTGGGTCTCCCACAGGGATGTCCCAAGCACCCATATCAGCCTTCTCTCCTGTTTTCACAGGCAAGTAGCAGGGAGGTGGATCAGAAGTGGATCAGCCAGGGATAGAACTGGCACCCATATGGGTGGCTGGTGCCACAGGTGGAAGTTCACCCTGCTACACTAGGAAACTGGCCCCTAGTTTTGAAATCTTGATATCGTAGTATTTTTCTGAAAAGAAAATCCCTTGCAATTGTGTAGGCTTCAGGGCATACAAAACCTACATTTTTCTGTACTTCAGTGTGGCAAATTACCATAAAGCACTATGTATCTTGCAAATATGAATTCAAGGGGAATCCAGCTGGCTTTTGGCTCTAGGAAACTCCCAACGGTACTTGGAATTAAAGGAGGGAAGGAAGGAAGGAAGGAAGGGAGGGACGGAGGAAGGGATAGAGAAAGAGAGAAAGAGAGAAAGAAAACAATATTACAGAAGCCGGTGTTGTGGCTGAATTAAGCAGAATGACAGCCTCTCACATAAGCACAGTGATGTCCTGGCTGCTCCACTTCTAATCCAGCTTCTT